TACGGGGTGTCGCGCAACATCCTGTTCTTGTGTTCGGGAAAAAGACCCATTTATTTAAGCACTCCAAAAACTCCGGTAACACTCCAGGGGGTAGCACGTAAAAGACTCTGTCCTCTGACTCTTCTAGCGTAACACACACTTCACACACACACATACTCATTTACATTACCAAGCGGGGACGCCATCCGCCTCTCTGCTCCAACACTGACTGACAGCTGACTCCACTCATTCACAGTCACCACTGCCCCAGGGCCGCTACAAAATATGCTATCTACAGAGATAGCACTGGTGATCTGAACCGGTCAGTGGCGAAAAAACACACACTTCACCCATACATACTCATTTACAATACCGAGCGGGGACGCCCTCCGCCTCTCTGCTCCAACACTGACTGACAGCTGACACCACTCATTCACAGTCACCACTGCCCCAGGGCCGCTACAATATGCTATCTACAGAGATAACACTGGCGATCTGAACCGGTCAGTGGCGAAAAAAAGCTTCTGTAGCCTTTTATACGGGACGCATTTGCCCCCATTACCGTTTTAGCTCGTTTCGCGGCTCAATACTGTACTCAACTCAATACTCAACTCAATAATTTTAGAACGAGTGGTACCCATGAATCATACGCACACATACACATGGGGAAATAGAGCCCAGGTTGAAAAATACCGAAGTTGTCCTCTAAATTCGAGCCCGTGGACTGTGACCATAGTATTTTGGGGAAATGGAACCAAACTGACAGAGCATGCTGTTGCTGCCTTGCTAACTTATGCTTAGCTCTGTGCGGCTAAACGTTACAGATTGATTGATGGGTGAATGTCATTATATCATTGGTTGGAATTAGCAGGTACTAGATTATGTATGCAAGTATGTATGTATGTATGGTCATTGAGTTTTTGTATTTTTGTGGCATATATTGTTAAATAGGTTAACAAAATGGCTGCAGATATGAAAGCAAAGGGTTAAAACGGCATTTTTTATTTCATCTCGACTTGAAGGATATGCGTTATATATCATGCATACAGTACAGGCCAAAAGTTTGGACACACCTTCTCATTCAATGCGTTTTCTTTATTTTCATGACTATTTACATTGTAGATTCTCACTGAAGGCATCAAAACTATGAATAAACACATGTGGAGTTATGTACTTAACAAAAAAAGGTAAAATAACTGAAAACATGTTTTATATTCTAGGTTCTTCAAAATAGCCACCCTTTGCTCTGATTACTGCTTTGCACACTCTTGGCATTCTCTCCATGAGCTTCAAGAGGTAGTCACCTGAAATGGTTTTCCAACAGTCTTGAAGGAGTTCCCAGAGGTGTTTAGCACTTGTTGGCCCCTTTGCCTTCACTCTGCGGTCCAGCTCACCCCAAACCATCTCGATTGGGTTCAGGTCCGGTGACTGTGGAGGCCAGGTCATCTGCCGCAGCACTCCATCACTCTCCTTCTTGGTCAAATAGCCCTTACACAGCCTGGAGGTGTGTTTGGGGTCATTGTCCTGTTGAAAAATAAATGATCGTCCAACTAAACGCAAACCGGATGGGATGGCATGTCGCTGCAGGATGCTGTGGTAGCCATGCTGGTTCAGTGTGCCTTCAATTTTGAATAAATCCCCAACAGTGTCACCAGCAAAACACCCCCACACCATCACACCTCCTCCTCCATGCTTCACAGTGGGAACCAGGCATGTGGAATCCATCCGTTCACCTTTTCTGCGTCTCACAAAGACACGGCGGTTGGAACCAAAGATCTCAAATTTGGACTCATCAGACCAAAGCACAGATTTCCACTGGTCTAATGTCCATTCCTTGTGTTTCTTGGCCCAAACAAATCTCTTCTGCTTGTTGCCTCTCCTTAGCAGTGGTTTCCTAGCAGCTTTTTGACCATGAAGGCCTGATTCGCACAGTCTCCTCTTAACAGTTGTTCTAGAGATGGGTCTGCTGCTAGAACTCTGTGTGGCATTCATCTGGTCTCTGATCTGAGCTGCTGTTTACTTGCGATTTCTGAGGCTGGTGACTCGGATGAACTTATCCTCAGAAGCAGAGGTGACTCTTGGTCTTCCTTTCCTGGGTCGGTCCTCATGTGTGCCAGTTTCGTTGTAGCGCTTGATGGTTTTTGCGAGTCCACTTGGGGACACATTTAAAGTTTTTGCAATTTTCCGGACTGACTGACCTTCATTTCTTAAAGTAATGATGGCCACTCGTTTTTCTTTAGTTAGCTGATTGGTTCTTGCCATAATATGAATTTTAACAGTTGTCCAATAGGGCTGTCGGCTGCGTATTAACCTGACTTCTGCACAACACAACTGATGGTCCCAACCCCATTGATAAAGCAAGAAATTCCACTAATTAACCCTGATAAGGCACACCTGTGAAGTGGAAACCATTTCAGGTGACTACCTCTTGAAGCTCATGGAGAGAATGCCAAGAGTGTGCAAAGCAGTAATCAGAGCAAAGGGTGGCTATTTTGAAGAAGCTAGGATATAAAACATGTTTTCAGTTATTTCACCTTTTTTTGTTAAGTACATAACTCCACGTGTGTTCATTCATAGTTTTGATGCCTTCAGTGAGAATCTACAATGTAAATAGTCATGAAAATAAAGAAAACGCATTGAATGAGAAGGTGTGTCCAAACTTTTGGCCTGTACTGTATGTCTGTGTGTGTGTGAGTGTGTGTGTGTGCTCACATACAAACTCATCAGTATGATATTTTGCAGTCGTCCTTTCAAGAAGTCACTGAATTCCTGGAAAATTCGACACAAAAGCAGCACAGCTGCTCGATCCATTATAAATTAGTACTTTGTGTCATGCTCTCATTCATCAAACAGCACCTATTTACATCCCATTAGTGTAACAGGATCAGATTTCTATTTGAAACCACCTACTCCTCCCACCGCCAGGAGTTCAAGCTACCCATGCCTCACATGTTCTGCATGCATATTAATGCTCTGTCATCTTTTATATCCTATGGCCATTAGCTTTAACATATGGGGAAGCCCAACCATCTGTGCAATGCCAGCTATCACCCTGACATCACATAGTGCATCTGGAGGGCTCCTTTCTAAAAATAAAAATGATTTATGGTGTGTGTTTTGACAACACATGAGATTACATTTTATATTTCACATGATAGTTCTTTGGTTCAACTTGAGTCTCTTTGTATTTTAAAGTGCTTGCTTGTGTGCTCCTGAATTGTGCCTGTTGAGGGCTTGACAGCTTTCACATTCGGCCACAAGATGGCGACCTCTCCATTTTTTTTTTCATGTTAACACTGTTGGCCAACGCATTCAAATGTTCTCTCATGTGTGCATATGTTCTCTGCTTCTACCTGACCCCTCACAGACACAATACACTTCAGACTATTTTTTACCTCTGCCCTGCCCCTGTTTTAATAATACATTGCGCAGAGAGGCGCACAGTCATGACAAGACATGACAAACAGCAGGGTAAAAATATCACCACAGGGCACGGGGCTTTGATGCCAGAAGCCGTATAAAATATTTTTATTACACTGAAGTGTTCTTTCGGTGGAGGTATTTGTGTGCTCAGATGGCACCGAATGTTAGCATCGGCTGTGAATCATCTGATCCGTGCAGTATATACAGCCTGGTTACTTCAAACATGCTTCAGTACATCACAGCTAGAAATCCCTGGCACAGGCTGATATAGCATAGATGTTTATAATGCTGTGGGGCGTAGATTTTCAGTGGACGCAAGGGCCACAACCCCCTCGATACTTATAACCCCACAATATAAACATGAAAGTAGAAGAGGACTTTTACTTGGACAAAACTGAATAAATTTGCACCATAAATTGATGCAGCAAGGGCACAAATGTTGCATAAAAATCACCAGAATGCAGAAAATTAAGTGTTTGATGCTTAAAATTTGACCCCCAACCCTCCCCTGTTTAATTTGTCTCCCTTCCCAATAACAAATTGAAACCTACTCCCTTGCTGGGGACTACTTGCGCTTGGCTTACATCTGCATAATACATGTTTATCTCTGTTGACATAGTGACAGCCGCTGTGCTCACACACTTAAGACAACTGTTCACAAAAGATGGTGAAAATTCATTATTACAGTCAAGGACAGAACAGAGATGTCCTTGATAACCACGATGCTCTGGCAACCAAGACAGGAAGTGAGAAAGAAAAGACAAAAGAGGCACACAGATAATATTGTCTAAATGAAATGAGTCTCCAGCTGTGAGCACACTGTACGACTGTCGAACCCCATTAAGTCGACTCAAAATAATGACTTCTTCCCCCTGTAGTTTCTGCAGGACATGGCCGTGTGCAAAATATAGCACAGACGGGTTGGTGTGGTTGTGAGGGGATCTCCACTGTCAGCTCGACATAGACACTTCTTTGCTTTTGGTTTGGGCAGAAAATAGAGCTTGAGAAAGAGGAGCACGCCACAGTAATCGTACGTGCCCTCGTTTGCACTCTCCGAGAAGGGGGTTGGAGGTAACATGGCTGCTGTTGTGATTCCATAACCAATCATTTAGAAATGTTACCTGCTCAAATCTTAAGACGACAGTATTTTCAGATGCAGAAACATCTAATCTGATGGAAAGCATTTTGATTTCTATGACAGACTCTTTCCCACCTGCTCAAACTTAACACACTTTTTTTGGTTCAGAGATAGAATATGTGTGTCACATCTCAAATATGCGTCTGGAACAGCTACAGTAAATCAGGCCTGAAGTTGTGTAACGCGTGCCCCGGCTTTAAGAATTCCCAAACACTTGGCAAGTTATCACGCCTCTCAAGAGGAGTGAGCGGCGGAAAAAAAACAGGGACAGATAGGAGCTGGAGGCTGGCTGATAGCAAATTAGAAAGGATAGATGCACGTTAAGTACAAGAGGGAGGATATTAAAGAAAGGTTGCGAGTGAAAATAAGAAGGGAAGTGGGTGACAGCGAAGGAGACAGAAACAGCAGGAGAACAGAAGATTTAAATTGGAAGAGGCAGTGTTATTAAGAACAATCTTACCCTTGCAGTGCTTTCTCTCCGAACCAGTCGCCTTTTCCGAGGCTGCGCAGGTAGACGGGCTCTCCATTGGGCAAGTCTTCCCTGGTCACATTAACCTGGCGAAAAAAGGACGGAGATGCAGGCGGAGGAGCGTTAAAGAGAGCAGTGTGACAGGGAGGAAGATAGGAAGCAAGAGAAGAAAGACGAGGTCCCTTATAACAGTGTGAGGATGTGCGGCAGGTGAAGGAGAGAGTATTTCATTTACACATCACTCCAAAAGAAAGTGACACGTATATGAGTTCTCACGATGACAGGTTAATCATACTATTACAAACAGCCGTGACAGATATCTCCGTGCATGAGTAGTCTGTTAGAAATAGGTGACTGCCATCTCTGTGAGGATCTGGGAGGCGTCTCTGACCACTTCATTAGCCAGATGACATGTGAGCGATGGCACTGTGCTGTGCTGCTAGACTTTACAAATCAAAGTGATGGCACTTGAGTGGATTTTAGAAGAAGTGAATGGAGACCGTCGTTACGCCTAATGAAGGATCTTGTCTTCTTCCATTAGTCAAGTTCTGCTCAGGTGTAGCAGCGTATTGAGCACCGGCGCACTGTAGCGCTGCCAACACCTGAGTGACAGTGTAATTACACACGATGTAATATGATCATGTGGGAGGATAGAGGCAAAAAAGCAAAGAGAAGAAGAAGAGAGGCTTAGAGGGGGTAAGAGGTGTAGGCCAAAGGGCGGGCTGTGTGTTTGTTGTGAGATGCCAAAATTTGGTGGAATGTCCTCTAGACAAAATGCACCGTCTGGTGGAAAAAGCCAAGCGGAAAGCATCGGTAAGGTCAGCAGCATATGTGTGTGTTCCTGCGTGTGTTCATGTCTTTGTCCCAGTGCGTATTTGTTTGTGATGCAGTCGTGACGGCCTTGTCAAGTGGTTTGTATTTGTTTGGGGTCAAAAGACAGTAAAAAAAGGCAGGAAACATAATGTATTTTCATCTTTTACAATGACACATCCTGGACATGTGAACTGATAGAAAATGCAGTGAACTTGTCTCACTCACTGGGACATGAGTGGGGATTTAAGGGATATATTTAGTAAGACATGGAAGCATTTAGTAAGTATATTTCTTTACTGTACAATCACTTAGTAAATCACAAATTTCCTCACGAAACATTATACCAATTGTTTGGACAATGATGTGACGTGCTTATATCACAAAGTCTGCCACAATAGGATTTTGACTGATTCAGTTCTTGGGTCTGTGATCAATATGAGACATATCAGTAAATATCCTTATTGTCTTTTTCTTGGCTGCTCCCCACTGTCTGCCTGGTGCTAGGCCACCAACACTGTTTGAATGTTTAGGAAGGAGGTGTGCTTGGATGTTAATGGTGACACAGATGTGCCATGGGAATTTCAAAATAAAGGCGTATCTTAAAGATATGTCTTGATATTTTCAGACATGTATCACTGCTATTGAATTCAGTGGAATCATTGAATCAATTTATCAATCCAGACCGATATATTGTTACGCCCCTAATAATCACCTGAAAATAAAAATCATCATGTTTTTGTTACCTCAAAATGAGCCATTTATATCCACATGGGGAGTGGGACCTCGTCCATGGAGTTTGCCCCGAACTGACCAACAACATTGGCTCTAGATAGGGGCATTCGTGCCTTTGAGTCATCGTAATGGCTGCTGTAGTTAGAAACTCCTCCTTGACGAGCAGTTTTGGGGGAAAAAAAAAAAAAACACTGATTTTTTTTTTTTTTAACCCTTTGACACCTGGAGCTACATCACTTTTCCTGTGCTGCTTTCAGATGCCTTTTGCAAGTATTTAAACCATTGAACCCTGAGGAAGTTGGTGTGATTTCTTTTAAAAACATGGGGAAAAAGGCAAACTGACTTAAACTGAAAATAAATTAAAAGAAAAAAGTGAAAAAAGATAGGGAAAAACTACATTTATAATAATAATAATAATAATAATTATTATTATTATTACATTTTAAAATTATGTTACAGAATTATAATGTTTTCTCAGCAGTTTCTTCAGGTATTTTCCTTATTTGTTTGTTTCCAACTTTCTTTTTCTCTCTTTTTTTTTTTTAACTAATTTTCTTGCTTATTTTTTGGGTAATTTCTTCCTTTGTTGCTAAATCAAGCCAATTTGCTCAGGTCAATGGGGTAATGTGAAACAGTTTTATTCAGTGTTTTTACCGCTTTAAATCACCCAATCCTTTTGTTTTGCAGAGGAAGAGACCTTTGTAGATAATTCACCCCAGTAAAAACCTCCTGAACATCTAGATCTTAAGTTATCAGAGAAAAAAGTGAGCACACATTAGCAGGTGTTGGGGTAGCAGCTTGTCTGTGATGAGCCAAAATCACCTTATCTCTTTCTTTTGGAGAGGAGGGGACATCTGTGGATAGTTCGGCTCCCAGTAAAAAGTTTTAACTGGTTGCAATCTGCAATCATCGCTGCTAGATGCCACTAAATCCTACACACTGCTCCTCTAAAAGACTGTTATCACAGAGAATAATGTTGATAATGTATGTAATGATGGTGAGGAAGAGGTGTGGATGAGAAACATGAACAGTGAAAGGAGCATCAGGAAAATGTTGAAGAAAATAAGGATGACGAGCAGGGAGAAAATGAGGAGGAAGAATAGTGGCATCAAAGCATGTTCACAATACGAGCACATGAAAGGCCACCAGCAGTGTTGATGCCAGAGTGGACGGCGTCTCATCTGTGCTCAGTGTGAAGGCCAGCGCTGATGACAGAAAGGTGAAATGAAAGTGACTCCATTCTCCTGTCTAGATGCTCCCAGAGCATCTGCACGAGATGATGACCGAGGCGGCCTCCCCCTTATCTCCAGATGATTGATGAAAGCCAACTTCCACCCCAACATACTACCACTTTGCTTCAGAGATAGGCGTCTCTTGCCATGTGTGTCATGATGCCCTGCACCGTGATGGTGTGATGATTAATCTGGTGGTAGGCTATGGGCACGGATCTCACCTTTCCCTTACTGATGATGAAGAAGGTGTCTCCTCTGGCCCCCTGTCTGATGATGTACTCTCCATCTCCATAATGTGTCTGTCAGAAGAGAAGAAGAGAAGTGTTATGCAGGCACACTATGTCTCTCTGGCTCCTTTCTCATATCGGGAGAGAGCCCTTTCTCTCCAGAGACAAAAATGTACTCTTCAGAGGAAGTAAGGCTGAAGTGGGTGCAGGGAGATAAATTGCAATTAGATGCTTTTATTCTCGTTATTACAACAGGCATGCTGTCCAGGGTGCCTCTCATCCTTCCACCCACTGCGCGCTTGGAAACGTCCTGCGACCTTGAATAAGAATGAGCAGGTAAAGAATATGAGTGAATAATTGAATACTACTGCATCACATCTGAAGACAAATCACACCCCTTTTCCCAGATAAAATCCATCCATCAATCCATTTTCTATACCAGGTAATCTTGTTCAGGGTTACAAGTGCCAGAGCCTATCCCAGCGTTGCTGAAGCACAACCTCCGGACTGGTCGCTGGTCTAACAACACATATAGATAGAGAAACACATTCACACACACACGCCTACATCCTGTGTTGAAAATAACCTTCAGGGCCAGATAAGGAATGCATTTGCTCTGAGCTGTATGGTGAAGTGATTCGTGAGTTGTGACATAACTTAATATGATGTGAAAAATCTCTGGTGCTACATGGAAAACCAGATATAAAGCTTTAAATGATCTACAGGACCATACCAACAAACCCTGATGCGGACCTCGGGCTAACATGCATCACTTTTTGTTTTTCATGATTCAAGTCCTGGTGGGATTTTCACTTTACCAGCACATTACAAAAGATGCTGCACAGAGTCTGGACTGAAGACAGAGCTCACTATTTCCTGTTAGATTATAAGCACACTCAGCGCTGCAGTTGACATTTGCCAGGTTTCTATTCTCACACCATTTCACCGAGGAAACGGTACCTCACATCTTACTTCACACTGAGCGGCGCGTACGCATTTCATGTCTGCTGTGCATCACTCAAAAGCAGAACTTCTTGGTATTAATAGGCTGCAGTACAGGTCTATGCATTTCTATGTGGAGCTTTTTCTCAAGCTTGTCCTCAAGGTGAGGAGAACTGCAAAAAAAAATTCTGGTCTATCTAATCAAAAATCAATCGCAGGCCAAAATTATCTATTATTATAGTAGAGGGCAAGACACAGGGCAGTTGGATGGATTCAACTACTATGTGACCCAGCACCACCAACCTGTAGGACCTCTGCACAGCGTTGTACAATGTTGTAGTACTCAGGATGGGCCTCAAGATCACTTTCTGAAGGGCTCGGTCTCGTCTCGCATTTTTCTTGGTCTTGTCTCGGTCTCAGACAGAGGACTTTAGGTTTTATTTCAAGACCAGTCATGACCACAACTGCAGTGACTTCACTAAATTGCCTGAGCATTGTCTGATTTATTTGTTGAAATCATTACTGTAATTTGATGTAAAACTCCCTGCTTCAAATTCTGTTATTAGCAGTTGCATTTTTTGTGGTACACTTCAGTTCAGTTCACAATGAGATGAGCTGAAACTTGCAACTACCTGCAATGCACTGGTCTGCAGTGTTCTAAAAATCTGCCAGATTCCATCAATGAGACTAGACGAGACTGTATCATCTCCATAGAAACAACTCTCTGTACTTCAGCTCTAACCTCCAGCTTTTCAGGGTTATTTTGTAACTGAATATCATCTGTAGCATCTTAAAATATGAATGACGTTAGTGATAGTGAGATACTTGCAACAGGTGCATTTCTAGTAGTGATGAAACTGCAAAAACAAAACGAGCTCCAGATGGACCGCATTCATAATAAATACGCAACAGTAATTTGAATAACAAGTGCTGATTAATCAGTCAATGTGTATGTGTTGGTGACATGCACACAGACAGTGACACACTGTGAAGACCAAGACTGACATACGTTGGGAACGTAGATGGACTCAGGCTTTGTAGGAACGGAGGGCTGTTGTCTGAGAATGCCACAGTAACCAAACATGCCATCTGCAGACAGTTTGTAACTGACTTGGCCAGCTGACTTTGCTACGAGCTGATTGGCTGTTGAAACAGGTGACGTGACTTGTTTTCTAGCAGCTGGCTACTTGATGAGTCGCAGGTGACACATCAGCCTGAGTCGAGCTGAGACGGGCCAGTTCACACCTCTGCAACGTTTTGTCTGCAATGTTCTTAAACAGTTTCATCTTGTTTGGAGTTTTGGCTCTGAAGTGGTCTTAATACACACAAACACACAGGGTATACAGGATTCCCACGATCATGGAAAACCTGGAAAACTCATGGAATTTGACAATCACAATTACCAGACCTTGAAGAGTAATTGAATTAGTCAAAATCAATGAAAGTCTTGAAAAAGTCATGGAATTTTGTTGTGTCGGACACACATCTCAGGTGCTAAAAAATGGCTTAGTAGCGCCCCATATTCAATTTCGACGTTGGAGCCCCCAAAGCTGCTTTGTAACAAGACATACAAAAAAGCCTCTTGGAGGCATGCTCTAAACCCAACAGGAAGTCGGTCATTTTTAATTTACTGTGCAATTTTGGTGTATTTTTGGCCATTTCCAGGGGTCCTAAATGAATGAACTCCTCCTAGAGATTTCATCCGATTGACTCCAAACCTCTGTTTGTCCCACCCCAAGACCATGAAGAAGAAAAGTTATTCAAAGCTTGAATTTTAGTCAAACCGTGTGACTGTGGGATGGCGTCAAACTTAGGTGTCTCGCCACAAAACAGGAAGTAGTTTATAACTCCAGCATACATGGTCCAATCTTGCCCAAACTTCACAGGATTGATGACAGTCCCGCCCTGAACACATCTACATGTCAATAATTAGTGATAAATATAGCACCCCCTACTGACAACAAGAAATGTCATGTTTTAGACTTTGATGTACATCTCCTACAAAGTTGACCAGATCCACCTCAAACTTGGTCAAATAAGCCATAAGACGTTGATGATGCTTTATTGTGGAAACTGTGAGTTTTCATCAAAGGGTGTAGCAAGTGGGCCAAGACAAAAAGTAATTCTTGATCACGGGTCCTTGAAAAGTCATGGTAAAATTTGGAAATTTTGTCCATGAAAATGTGTGGGGAAATCCTGTATATGTGAATAACGTTTTCTATGGATGTTTTTTTGGGGATGTGGATTTTTCAGGTCAATTTAAGGAGTGCTTATGGTTTGCATGTTCCACATATTATTCTAAGTGTGTCATGTGGTGTAGGTCTTGGTATTGACTTGGTCTCGCCCTGCCTTGGTCTCGTCCTTGACATAGTCTTAACCCCTCAAACTCTTGTCTCAGTCTTGATATACTTGATATACTTGATCTCAGCCATGTCTTGGTCTCGATTTAGATAGTCTTGACTGCAGCACTACCTCTGCACGTACAGGGAAAACATTAACTTATGTCTAAAAATAGATGAAACCCTGGATGGGCCAAGACAAATACCTCGCTCCACTGATTGGCTGATTATGGGGCGGCAGCAGTCAACAGTCTATGAAGCTAATAAACACAAATTCAGTCACCCTCCCACCACTAATATCTCCCTCAGTCAATAGTGCAAACACATTAATCAGAGTAGATTTATAGGCATCAGAATGCCATGCCATACATCTAATTTTCGGAGGGTTAACATTGTGTGTGTTCTCTCAGCTCACTTACAAATGTCATCCCTGCACTGAGCCTAAATGATTATCTCATTAATTTAATTGCTGGCAAAATAGTTTGCACTCTGGTTAAAGAGGATTTGATCACAGGGATGTGAAGGTTGTCTGATAAGACTGTAGGTCACTAGGGGTGTTTGTTACAGGCTTGTTTTTATGTGCTGTCAAAATATTTCAGATTAAAGCACCAAAAGAAGTCTTGAAAACCCCAAATCTGTGAAACACTGCTTTATGTTTGCCTGCATTACCCTTAAGCCATGTTTCCCCCATTTGACACTTTCCAATTCAGCCGCTCAGTGTTTTGATGTGGGTTGCATAGCTCGCAGCCTCCCTCTACCAATGTACTTTCCTTCAACCTCTTTCTTTTCCTTGATGGAGTTGTCCTTCGCCATGGAAGTGGTTATGTGTAAACTAATAGATTTCCTTTTCTTGGCTGTCCTGCCCTTTGACACCCCATCTGACTGAACCAGATGAACTGAACTGCTTCTCTTGAGTAACATCTTCACCCTGCTAACCTTTTTACCTGTGAGGTCTCCGAATTATCGTCAGTATTACTTATATAACTTACTGAAAAGTTGCAAACTGTGATGGTCTTTGTACTGTGGTACAATCTATGCTTTAAATAATGTACTTTTTATCGATCATAGTATAAATAATAGATTATGGTACCACCATGGACCAAGTCACAAACACTGTGCTATGGGATTTGCAATTTTGCAGTGGTGAGATATTGATCAGTATTTATCAATGAATAAATGATGAACAGTGGTTCTCTACTCATGTAAAGCATACAGTCATGACAACTATGTTTATGTTTATCAAGTTGCTGCGCCAAGTAAACTTTTTATATTACCTGGGGTCATTATTTCTACATGTGGCCCCACCTCCAGAAAACTGGTTGTTTCAGTGATACCAAGAAGTAATTCTGGATTATTGCACAGTCCAATACAGCCTCAGTTGCCGCTGCTATTTATCATTATTCTGCAATTTAAGGTCAGTGGCTGGACATAATAGTTTTAAAATGCTTTTTTAATTGTGCTTGGCTCAAGAGGCTGTTAACATAAGTGGGAAGCCTCGTGCTGCAATGTCAAGTGCCCTGAGCGTGGGAAAACAACAGTGCCCAAAGCCTTTGAAAATGAAAATGGATGGCACAAATTTGATGCCATGTGGGATTGATTACTTGTTGCCCCATTGCAATTTGATTGGCTGTTTGCCAAGTACTGTTGTTGTCATTTGCTAATAGTAGTCAAAAATATTTCTTATAAAGAAGATAGTAACTGTGATCACTAGGGCTGCCCCTATATTTTCCTAGTCGACCAACAGTCATCATTTATTGCCATTAGTCAACTAGTCGCCTGTATGTTTACAATATAAATGTAATTACTAAGTTATATATTTTGGGTGGGGCAACACAATGGTTTGAGTTGAATGTGTGAGAAGGAATAATATCAGTAACATTGTTAACACTGTGCTACATTACAGAGAAATACAAAACCGTACTAATGAACCTTCATTAATATAGGCCTATATTTTATCTACAAGTGCACGTCACACACTGAGCGAGCCTCCTGTTAATGACGCTGTGGGCAAAGCAGTAATGATTGTGCTAAGTGGCTAATGGGCATGTAGCTACTGACATGTTTCAGATGATACGTCATGTTTTTAGTCGACCAATGAAGATGAGTTTACATATCACCTTGGGTTCGTCCTTCACCTTCTCAAAATGATCCCACACTTGTGATTTCCTGCTCGACATGTTATTAACTAGCCTGTGGAATAACCGCAGGTACCAGCCCTGGAAATTAGGGGCTGTACACATGCCATGTCTTTAACCACCTGGAAAATGCAAGGCCGGGTGCTGGGTGCTACTCTTGTGCCTTTTCTGTGCCAGCTTTCAAAAGCATTGCAGCAAGTTGTGTCTGACGTTGCTAAGCAACCTTAACAAGCATCGTATAGCCTGTTTACCTGAAATCCAGAGTGCAGAGCTGATCTTCTTCCAGGAGCTGTTTATAAGTGTGTAGGCCTATCGTCTGTGGGACAGATGTAAAGCTCTGGGTAGCCCTGCACTAACATGATCAACTTTGCCGTATTTATCAGACTGAATATTTACGGAAGAAGGAAAATATATCTGTCGGCTGTGACTGGTTTGTAACCTGACTGCTGAGTGTGGCCTCCTCCTGTGTTTGTCCTTTCAAATTAAATTCCCACACTGTTGAGTCATATAGGTTTTGATTTATTTTGACAAGGCGCAGCTCCTAAGTGACCAAAGAAATCTTGCTGACTAATGACCTTTCTGGTCGACTAATGTTTGGTCGACTATTAGGGGCAGCCCTAGTGATCACCATGAACAATGTGCATGATCTTCTACAGCACACATTTGAAAGTCTGCATTTTGAATATGAAGATCAAATACCTCAGGGCCCACCAGCCACGGGATATTCCTCTAAAGCAAACCTCTTGTAACAATAAGCAGATGTAATGTAGAGTGATTCTCCAGGACAAAATGGTGAACTGTTAGCCTGCCAGAGAAGAAGCTGTTTCTGCTCTACATGTGTTATTCAGATGAAATGGTGCCTGGTCAACAACAGGCCTTTTAGGAGCATTTTTCTGAGAGGATGACAAAACATGAAACCAGCAGGACAACGTGGTGAAATTGGGCTCCTCCGACAGAGCAAACATACCCACACTGCGCATACGGCACATGCAAATGGGTGATTGAGCACTGTAACAGCAAGACGAGGAGAGCAGGAAAACTATGTGCTCAGTGGGATTATCACCCATGTTAAACTGTGTGGGAAATATGAAATAGCACATTATGTAAAATTGTGCAATTTTCTGGTTTTGCATTTCTCCAAAGTAGTTTTGCCCAACCGTTTCTTTCCACCTTAAAGCGTCACTGATTACATGGGTACATCAAATATTATTCCTTCAAGTTTCACTATGATGAAGTGATGCAAAGATGATTTGATAACATGCTGGCCAAATGAGAACCGTCTCTTTCACAATCAGTGACCAGAAGAATAGAAACCCTTGCACAATCCAGCACAGTCCAGTTTATAAATGTGACGTTATGGTAATTTGTTTAGCCTGTTTAGCATACATTCATGTCCTTTGTGCCTGGTCAGTCAATCCACTTTGGTCAGTGTAATGACTGATGAAATGGGACACTGAATGTGCTCTTCATTCTTCTCTGTGGTTTCAGTGTTTCAGGAACTGATTGCAGGTTTTTGCAGTTGCTTGTTTTTGTCATTCTCGTTTTATTGGTTTATAGAAGCAGTATAAAATGTTAACAAAATCCAGAACCAACTGAGAAGGAAAAAAGATAAACATAACATACAGTGGAGGGCTAAAAGTCACATCACAGGGTTTCTAGTACTTATCAGACAAAGTCAGATCTAATGTTTGAGACATATACCAGCTATTTTGTCCGTCCATCCATTTTTGTAACTGCTTATCCTCTTGAGAGTCGCGGGGGGGCTGGAGCCTATCCCAGCTGACATTGGGCTAGAGGCAGGGTACACCCTGGACAGGTCACCAGACTATCACAGGGCTGACACATAGAGACAAACAACCATTCACACTCACATTCACACCTATGGACAATTTAGAGTCACCAATAAAGCTATTCCCAACCTGCATGTCTTTGGACTGTGGGAGGAAGCTGGAGTACCTGGAGAAAACCCATGCTGACCCTGGGAGAACATGCAAACGCCACCGTGCCGCCCCCATTTTGTCCAGTTCTCAATAAAAATGTCCTTCTGGGTTCTCAGATTGAAAGTCAATCTCCCCATTACATAGATATTATGAACCAAGTCAATCCATTCATCAACACTAGGCATATCTTTTTTCAGCCATTTCTTGGTTAAGGATTTCTTACATGCCACCAATAGTATTCTCAGCAGATATTTATCCTTTTTTCTTCATCTGAGTTCCTTCAGACTAATCAGGTACATCAGTTCAAAATTAAAGGTTATTTTGGTCGAGGAAACCGTTTCAAGAATGCCATGAATTTTAGTCCAAAATGGAGCAACCAAAGGGCACCGCCAGAAGATATGGAATTGATTTGCTGCTTTATTCCCATGCAATCGCCAACAGTCCATTTGGGTTTGTAAAGATTTTTTCTGGGCAGGAGTACAAAAGTAACGCATGACATTCTTCCAACCAAATTCTCCCCAGGATGGAGAGCTTGTCATTTTCCATTGTTGTCTAAATATCTCTTCCTATTCCCCTTGTGTGATAGTCAGCTTTCCCTCAGTTTCCCACCTTGATTTAACTGTAAATGCATTTTCCTTGTTCAGTTGTTGAAGACCTAAAATACAGTTTTGAAATGACCTTTTTATAAGGTTTATTCTCAAATGCTGTGGTAAATATTTGGAGTAGTTCATTTTCTGTGGCCATATTTTTCTTTATTTTCTTGTCAATGTAATCACTAATGTGTAAATATCTAAAAAAAAAAAAAAAAAAAAAAGGTCCCAATTTTGTAGGTTAAATTTGTCCTTGCAGTTGCTTGTTTGACAAATTTGCTGTTTCAAGATAACAAAAACAGCAATAATTTTGATCAGTTCATGTCCTTTATCTCTTCTCAAAAGCAAAATGATCTTGAACTTATTCATCTTAGTTACATAACGATCGCACATGTACAGTCAGTGACAGTGAATAACCTAAAAAGAAGGCCGATGCCACATTGGAATCTAATTCAACATATTGACAGCCTCAATGTTAGCAGCACACATCAAAAGTGTAAATGAGAATGTATTTGCATAACTAAATTATGCTGAAAGAAACATCAAACGAAGTGGTGTGCAGATGGGTAGAAAATGTGATAGTGAGACACATCTCAAAATGCACAGTCACCAGCGTGAAGGAAACAGTTAAAGGGACGTAATAATGATTTTGAATGTTTTAGTCCAATTATGATGAATCGTTTGTCACAATTGCTGACCGTTTTGCAAACGTGCCGTAGGATTTCAGGTTATTAAATGTGTTTATCTGCCTTTCAGTCATCTGTTGACTTCCATCGGTTTATATTTCATTATGGAAATTTGAAAAAAGTTTGTTTACTTTAAAACTATGAAGTGCTGACAGTTGGTTACTACGCTGACTTTTAAGTCAATATAGATGTCACCCTGCATTATTAAATAAAATGGATTACAGTATGCCTCAGCATGCTTAGATTGTTTGACCACCCTTGAAAGCTGGAACAGCTTCATGAAATTAACTGTCAGTTAGTAGGTGAACCGTTTAGATCAACATCATCACATTGAGCACATACTAAAGAGCAACACTTAGTCTGAAATCCCAACTGTGCACACCCCAGGAAAAAAAAAACACCCTTCACCTGCCTTCACCGGATCAATATCTCCTGAATCCCCTCCCGGCGCCCTGCTCTCACTTCAGTGAAAGAAAGTGAATGTATGGAAATCCATTAGGATGTGTGGAGTAGGCTTGTGACATCTGCTTTGTGCTGCAGATGCCACAGGCTTTGGAACAAGGCACTTACCTCCTCAAGGACATCGGCAAGCTTGCTCAGAATATCTTCCTGCAGGCCGTGGAATGTGGGAACGCTGCGGGAGAAAGAAAAGAGGAGGCTTTTAGATCCAAGAATAGGTTCATAGTGCATATATTACTGATTGAGTATTTTGTTGTCAGAAAAAAAAGATAGAATGCAGTGTAAATGGCAGCACAGTCTTGGCTATGAAAGAGGTGACCAGTATTGTAGCTGACCTTTGATCTGAAGTGGACAACATATAGGCAACAGGAACACATAAAAATCAATAATATGCCACAGGAGCTGGCCTGTATATATTGTATTACAGTACGTGGATATAAATATTTAAGCACAAACTGGGCAACGTGTCTGGTTACACATCAGGGCAGCTGATCCTGAGGTTGAATGCGCCCGTATGAGGCTCTGATGTTTGTTCCGTTTGCTTCCCAGCAGCCTCAATGAACGCTATCTGCGTGTTATCAAGCCTACTAAATAAAACTGGCTCAATGTTTATCAAGGAGGAGAGAAAATAACCCCTGCTGGTGAACAAAGGACTTATCTCCCCATATCATCGCTCTCTCTCCCTCTCTGTTTCTCCATCTCCCTCTTCCCCCTCATTTTTCATGCTTTATTACAGTAATCTGAACCATCTTGTCTTGGCCCCCCAACCCGGGCCCTAGCCACCGTGTTCATCCTTGTGCTGTTGCTTATTCGACAGAGGCACTAGTTAATCAGCCAGGCAGTGAACGGATGACCCTGCTCTACATGAAACATATGGAGTTTCACTCCCTGGAGCTGCAAGGCTGTTGACACGAACAAAAAGCCTCTGTTGTGGTAAATTTCCAATCCAACATCTTAATTGTGTTACAGGAAATTAATTATACAAGGCCAATGGGGAAGTGCGGTTTCACTGATGTTGTGTTTTTGATAATTTGAAGCTAACATGGTTACACTCATGGCTCTGTGTGACTGTGAGGAAAGCATATAGGACGACCTTTAATAATTTCTGTACTAATCTCACAAACACCTCGAAAAACTTTATAAAAAAAAGGCCCTTCTTTGATGAAGGGGTTTGATCAATGCTTCCCCATGCTCATTTCCTGTGCCATTTCACAAATCATTGGGCAGATGGTTGCCTGCTTTTATTCCATGCCTTATAGCAAGACTTTTATCTTCGGTGGAAGAGGGCAGTGAGGAGTTAATATAGCTCACAAACCTTCAAAAATATCACTTCAAAGCAATATGCATTTTGCAACCCGTTCTCAATCCCATGGCATCAAATATGGGAGCTTGGTCAGTGGCCACCTGCATGTAATTCTGATGAACAGGGCGCCCTTTGTCTTTATGAGACACACTATGCTCCAATATAAACTCATCTGCGGAAATTATGTTGTATAACCTCCTGGGAACTTTTGATTGGTATGCATTTTTAATTCCACCTAGCCATTAGGGATCAGTGGGACCTAGTAAGTATAAAATACAAAACATTGTCAACGAATGTCCCAAAATGAGTACTTCCTAATTATCTGTGTCTTATCTTCAAACTGCAAACATTATTAATCAAAAATAAACAAGTTTCAACCATTAAATCTGATCAGGTTTTGGACCTTGTCCTCTTTTGTGTCGGGATCGGCTGCAGACTGACTTGGCAGAGATGGCTGCCATCTTGTTTTTAAATGGATTAGTGTGTTGCGCTCTTACTACCACTAGGTGGCACAAACAGTGCCCAGGAATGAGGACAGTGGGTCTAAGTCAAGTAGAATTAAGTAAAAGGTCAAATAAATAGGAGGGACAGGTGGTGGATTGGTCAAACAAACACAGGATTTTTCACCCAGGAGACTGGAGTTCATGTTAAACTAAGAACCTGTTTACACCTGGTATTAACATGTGTCTTGGGTGATTCAATCAGAAGTGGACAGCACTAAATTAACTGTAAAGGACTGCAAAGACGCATTGTGATCCAATCACTCAAACCACTTGCTGAGGTGGTCTGGGACACATCTGACCACTTATTTTTTTACAGTGTAAATGCCAATGCGTCCTGATGTTTCCCTGACAAGTATGTAACAGGAAGATATGTCAGTACAGGACGTGGTGGTTGTTTGGTGACAGCATGCTCACTCTCTGTAACTTGCCCATTTCAAGACAAGTTGGACAAAATGTTGCTTGACCATCCATCGTTTTGCCCCATTGAAGGAGACATGTTGAATTCGGCTGTTACACAGCTGGTAAAATGATTGGCAAGCATGCTAGCGAGCAGTTAGCGAGAGTATGGTGAACGTAATAACTGTGTGCAGGGCCCTTTAAACTGATGTAGCCAGTAATGAAATCTGAACCCAAATGGTCAGCTGAAGACGCAGGATACAAGGCACAGATGTAAACTGAGATGTGTCTCAGCTTTCCAGTTGTGTTTGGATCACTGAAACACATGTTAATATCAGGTGTGAACAGGCTTTAAAAGTCAATGTTGAGTTGCTGTTTTTTCCCCCAAACCTAACCAAGTAGTTTTGGTGCGTAAACCTATGTTTCTTGTGAATACGCAAGTTTATTTTGAAAGGACACTGAAGCACACAGCAAGCAGAAATTGACATGTCCAAAGTTGTCATAGAAGGCTACCTAGAGCGTCATAATTTGAAGCAAAGGGCCACTACCAAGCTGCCATATTTGATGAGTTGGTAGTGAGAACGTGTCACATTTTGTAACTCCAGGTTATGTTTCTCAGTTCATTAGACACTACGTCTGCAGCTGCTCTTCCCGGAGCAATGTGTTTGAGCAATTTCACCTACATGCTAAAAAGAGGGTATAAAAAAAAGGTTTTCACAAGCACAATCACTTCCCGTATGTTATAGCATGTGGGATTTCTCTGTGTTCCACCTCCACAACTTGTGAGAGCAAATATATAATTTCACAGCAGTTTAACAGTGGGTTGGAGACTCAGGGACCAGCATGTGTTTGTTCTTACGCTACAGCTCTTTTATTAGATCTGCTTCTCGGAAACAAAACAGAAGTATAATTATCTACATATTGTGAATTAACAGATGATGCTATAAATCTCTGATCTCCCCCTCTCTAGATACCTCTTTATAAGCCAAACACAAAGTGAGCCCAAACCAAGCAATACATTTGTATATCTATTAAATATTTACTTATCTGTTGGACTGTTATATAAGAGCCGCTGGGAGGCAAGAGCTGCCATACAGTACATGCTCACATACTCCGTGAAGAGATAGAAATGTCTTTTTTTAGTCAAAGCTATCACTAAAATAGCTGCTTCAGTCCTGGGACAGAAAAGCAAGATTAATAGTGTTTTTATATCTGGGTGGAAACATATATTTTTAGTTGTATATGTTTTAAAGTCTCCCTTCATTGCAAAGGGTACTGTAGATACAGCAAAGGTTGAGGAGGCTTTGTTGTAAGTGACCTGCAAATGTCACAGACTGTTAAACTGTCAGGAAGATTATCCGCTCCAGAAATACAACAGCATTTTTCATTACGGTCAAATGCGTAAAACAGTCTGTGTTTTGTTTTGTTAACTGGCGATATCATGCATTCCTGTAGAAAATGACAGTCTACTGAGAGGCAAAGAAAGAAGTATGATATTGTTATACTGTTACAAAAACCAAAACTAGTTCTGATTATTTACCCTTAGATTGCCTAGATAATTGAACTAGATGGCACTCAGCTTGAGGTGCTCAAAGGGCCAAATAAAGTACATTTCAAAAACTCAACAGCAATGGGTCTTTTCAGAAATCACCTTGTTGTGATAGGTTTTAGGAAGGAACTATTTTCCTTCTACCATACTACACCCGTCAACCTAATCTCCACGCCAAGTGTTGGCGATATCAGCCGTAGAGATGTCTGCCTTCTCTCCATTATAATGGAACTAGATGGCACTCGGCTTGTGGTGCTCAAAGCGCCAGAGCACCAAAGTTCTACTCAACTACACCCGACAACATCGCCTTGCAAAAGGAAGCATGTACCTACTGCTAGCTCACCTAGCAATACTGAGCTAACTAACGTTACAGCCTAGCCTAGGGATACACCATTAGTATTTGCTTCTCACGCTGTCATGAACCTCTTGTCCATGAGTAGATGCACGCTTCATTCTGCGCAGTGATACAGTTGGCGGGTGCAGCTCAGTAGAGTGAAAATAATTCCCAAATGAAACTGCTCACAACAAATGGTAAATGGACTGAACTTGTATAGTGCCTTTCTAGTCTTCCGACCACTCACTACATGTTGCTTTCACCCATTCACACAAGAATTTATACACTGGTGGCCGAGGCTACCACACATGGTGCCACCTGCCACTTAGTAACCATTCACACGCTCTCACACAATGATTGAATAGCCATCAGGAGTACTTTGGGGTTCAGTATGTTGCCATGGATACTTCGAAATGTGGACTGGAATGAGCCTGGGATCGAATCGCCGATCATCCGATTAGTGAATGACCTGCTCTACCTCTGAGCCACTGCCACCTCCACAACAAGGTCTATGGATTATCTTTAGTGTCTGGATTAGACATTGCTGTTGAGTTTTTCCAACAAATGTATTTTTGGACGCTTCTAGCACCTCAAGCCAGGTGCCATCTAATTCCATTATACTGGAGAGAAGGCACACATCTCTATTGCAGATATCTTCAACCCACACCGAAACAATCCAGACTGATAAATACAAGTAAGATGAAAAATATGTGTTTTGATTTTGAGGTGAACTGTCCCTTTAAAGGTTGCACAGCAGGAAGCATCCAAAAGGAGTCATTTCTGGAACAGTAAAATAGGTCGTTTTGAAAAGTATTGGCATACGACCTATTTTGTAGTTAAGGCATGAGGATGAGGGGAACTGGTTTCCTGCCTGGCTTGAAACAACTCTGTCAAATACTGTCAGGGTCTGATCATGATCACAGTGATTCATGAGGCTTAGTTCAGTAAAAATGATCCTAGGCAGAGTGTGTGCTTTTTTTTTTTATGTGAGACCTTTAAACACACACGGCAGTGCATATATGAGAGACAGTGAGGAGACAATAGAGCAGCTTCTGATATCGGGCCCTGAAACAAAGTCATGAGAAGATGGAGCGACGTATGAAATATAGGAAAGACGTGATATAATTTTCATAATTGACTTGATGAAGACCAAAGTGGATGACAGCAAAACAGGGAAGTCGAACAGAGATAGGGGACGAGAGAGATTTATACTGTAATTGCATCTCATGCATCTTGATCACTGCACACTGCTCTCCCTCTGTCTTTTGATGAGTCTTTCTTTTATCCTATACTCCATGCAGGCCTTTTAAGTGATAATAGGCTTCCGGTGGTTAGGGCGTAGGGCTCTCTGTTTCAGACAGGGGTATTAAAAAAAGATGATACAGGTAAAAGGTATTTTTCCAGAGGGATGAATGACACTTTTAGTGACCCATCTGTAATTAATTTTGGGTTATATACTTTGTTTGCCAAAAATGAGGAGTAAGTAATCTTCTGAGAAGCAGCTCACGCATATTCCCCTGAAATCATTTTGTTAATTCATTCATTGCATTTCAGATCAAAGCCCTATTCAGGGCCATTTCTCTGTCATTGTGGGACAATTTACAGGCTCCCTCACCTTTTCAGAAACTCCATGTATTCTGTGTGCTTGATGAGACCCGTCCTCATCATGATCGTCTGAAAACACTGTCGGTCGATGGCCCACAGCTTCACATTTGTTAGAGCTGGAAAAAAAAGAATGCACATAAGCAATGTCATGAAAGTCAGACTTCACCCTTAGGCAAACAGATTAATAAAACAGCATGTGTGCATTATACAGGCCCAACAGTTTGAAGCTTTATGCATGCACAATACGGATAGCCTATAGTGAATATCATATGCACTTTAAAAGCATTTGATATTGAACTTGAGATGTGAGAAGAATCACAGTTGTGTCATGGCGTGAAGCATGGGTGAATTTAAACTAAAAAAACCACTGAAATCGCAATTCAGAGAGTAGAGTGGAGAAATCTGTGGACCTTTACGTTTAGTTACTCTTTTGTTTGCAATAACCAGCATCCAATATTGCTGCTGAACAGGCCTGCAAAGCAAACAGGAGGTATTCTGGGCAATTAGTCTTTATTCAGTAGTTTGAGATAATTGGTGTTTTTGGAATACCTTGCATGGATGGCTTGCTTCAAGTCACGCAACAGCATTTTAATTGGTTTAAGGTCAGGAGTCTGACTTGACTGTGCTCAAGTTTGCTTTTTTTTTTCTTTATTAGACAAAGCCCTTGAGTCACTGATTGCTCTTTGCGTTAAGGACAATTATCAAAGTGTGTGAAAAAAGTTGTTAAGTTTCAAATCACAAACAGCTACTCCTGATATTCTTCTGTCCAATTTCCTGAAACAATTTGGAATTAGTCATTCAACCAATGATTACAATCTGCGCTAGCCCTGAGGCAACTCCGAACCATAAAACTCTCCACACATGGAGTAGATGGAAGTTAAGGAGGTTTTTTTAGTTTAAATATAGCATTGTCAGATTTATTGTTCCATTGAGCGTCCAGATAATGTGATGCAAACATTAAAAGAGCAGCAATACTTTGGAGAAGAGCAATTTCCTCTGAAGTTTCTTTCCATGGACAAATTTATCCATCCATCCATTTTCGTCCACTTATCCGGGGCCGGGTCGCGGGGGCAGCAGGCCGAGCAAAGCATCCCAGACGTCCCTCTCCCCAGCAACACTTTCCAGCTCCTCCTGAGGGACCTTGAGGCGTTCCCAGGCCAGATGAGATATGTAATCCCTACAGCATGTTCTGGGTCTGCCCCGGGGCCTCCTACCAGTTTGATGTACCTGGAACACCTCTAACAGGAGGCGCCCAGGACCCATCCTGATCAGATGCTCGAACCACCTCAACTGACCCCTTTCGACGCAAAGGAGCAGCAGCTCTACTCTGAGCTCCCTCCAGATGTCTGAGCTCCTCACCCTATCTCTAAGGCTGAGCCCAGCCACTCCACGGAGGAAACTCATTTCAGCCGCTTATATCCGCAATCTCATTCTTTCGGTCACTACCCAGAGCTCATGACCATAGGTGAGGGTTGGGACATAGATGGACCAGTCAATCAAAAGCTTTGCTCCCTCTTCACCATGACAAACTATTGTTAAGTGTTTTTCTTATTGTGGATAGATACATAGAATTTAAAGTTGTTTGATACCGAAACCAGTATCATAAATGCCTCAGATACTGCCTAAAATGCTGCATCTGGTTTCGGCGAGAAGACAAATTTATGCACTGATCCAATACCATGTAATTTATGGATAAATTCTGAAGTAGTTTCACACCCCAATAAAACAGCAGCTTTCCCAGAAATCAAATATTTGCTGCTTTAAAACAGCAGCACAAACAACAAGTTGTGGCCACTGGCAACTACTGTTTAAGAACAGTTGAAGAAAATGTAACGTTTGCTGTAAGCAAAATGTCAGACTAGATAATAAAGAAAGTTCTATGGCATTCATTCTTGGTATTTATTTGTTCATGTTTTACAAAGGGTTTAACCTGAGCCATGCCATACATTGATAGCAATTATTTAACATCCATATAAGTTAAGACATAATATGCAAGTTAAGACATAGGAATCGGTATTGGGAGGGAAAAATGGTATTGGAACATCTCTAATTGAATGTAGTCAGTGTAAGAGATGCCTAAAATACTTTGCTGTTATGCCACATCTCCTTGACACCTCCTTGAATAATGTACAGTCCTCTTGAAGCAGTCCTTGCAGAATACCCAGTCCTTCAAAGATCAGAAACGGTGCTCAATCTCTTCCGTTTTTTCCCCATTTTTATGCCTGGCTGGTGATTGACGGAGGCCTGGGTCTTTTGAAATTCCTTTTCTTGCCATTTTCAGTGTTTTGAGCTTCAACAGCTCTTTCTCTGAGGTGCTCTGTAGTCACTTTTGATCAGAATATGTTTCACCTCGACAGATCTCTGTTGCAAAGAGCCGACTGTGTTGGAGCCAGGCTATGTGGGTTTTCATTATCGCGATGGACCTCTAACCCACACCTGAATCACATTATATATCCACATTCATCCCCATTTTCTAGAAGAAATCGGGTCGCTGAGGCAGAAACTTTATAAGAAAACATGCCAGAACCCCATATTTCATCTTGCTGAGCCACACCATATGGTGACTTCCTGAATTCAGTGCTTTGCTAATAGCTGTTTATGGTAATTATTTCAAAATGACTTTAGGGTTTCTCCCAGTATCATTATCTTTTGCAAGAAATGCTCTCATCCCGACTTCACGACTTCAATTGTGCAGTTTTACAGTAGACTGTGAGGAGTAATAAAAAGAAGATAGAGAAAATCTTCAGTCTGACCCCAAAACAAATCCGGAGATCCCCAAGGAAGGCTGTGGCCACAGGGACATGTATTAATATTAGAAGAAAATTCATCAGATAAGAGTCAGTCTACTTGGTATTTTGTCTGAGCATGTCTGTTGCAAGAGCTTTTGATTCTATCTCATCCTCCCAGTGTGACACTTCTTCACAGAGTTAAAGATAAAATCCACTTTTGTTAATAACTGTGTGGTATTTATTGATCATGGGAAAATTATTTTTTGTTTGGTGTCCTCAGCAGTGAAGTCATAGTGCAGGCTTAGTTACAGAGCAGCACCCCTGCAGCTGATGGGCAATCAGCGTGTCATAGGCCTGGGCCTGCTGTTTAATGGGCATTCCCTGATAGTGTGTATCTGAAACTACTACAGTTAATAATTGTGATGCCCAGTCACTTACACACACAGCACACTGACTTTTGATTCTATCCTTTTAAGTACCGAGGTTTACCTCATGAGAGTGAGGACATTTTTGTGCAGAGAGGGGATTTCCATTCATCCACATCGTTACTACATGCTTAGAGCAATGGACATAGTTTAAAGAGCGTGAAAGTCTGCTCAGGGTGAGTGGGAGTGGAGGTGGAAGGCTCCAAGAAAACACTGGACTTCGATCCAGGAGACCAGTGTTTGAAACCAACCAACAACGACCTCGGCTGTGGCATTTGTGCCACTCAAAGCCGTTTGTTTTTTTTAGCGACACACCACTGCTTTGACTCATGAGACCAGTGTTTGAAACCAACAAAAAACCAACAAACAATGATATTGGTTTGGCTTGTGTGCCACTCAAAGCTGGGTGAGTTTTTGTTAGCAATACACCAGTGCTTTTGCCCAGGAGACCAGTGTTTGAAACCAACCAACAATACTGATTTTGGCGTTTGTGCCATTCAACGCCGGTTGATTTGTTTAGCGATATACCACTGCTTTGACCCAGAAGACCAGTGTCTGAAACACACTGACAACAATAACCTCGAAAGTGGCGTTTGTGCCACTCAAAGCTTTGTTTAGTGACACAATACTGCTTTGACCCAGAAAACAAGCATTCAAAACTAACCAACAAAAACCTTGGTTGTGGCATTTGTGCCACTCAAAGCTGGTTGGTATTTTAATGACATGCCACTGCTTTGACCCAGAAGACCAATGTTTGAAACACACCGACAACAACATCCTCGAAAGTGGCGTTTGTGCTACTCAAAGCCGGTTGTTTTTTCAGTGACACAAAACTGCTTTGATCCAGGAGACAAGGGTTTAAAACCAACCAACGACAACCTTGGTTGCAGCATTTGTGCCACTCAGAGCTGGGTGTTGCTTTAGTTAAATTCATTATCTTTTCCTAATCATAACCAAGACGTTTTGTTGCCTAAACCAAACCATGGACACCATCCTACCGCCAACCTCTTGAAATGACTTGAAGTACTGTCTGAGATAACACACACAAAAATGAACACCTGTGCTAGCACACAAACTCACATATTCCAGGTAATTATGGACATATAAGTGGGTGAACGCACCCCTACAGACACTGCAATCTTTCTCTGCAGACCGAGAGTTTGGCAGCACTTTAAAATAGGGCCAAACCACAGGAGAAATGCCCTCATTATGCAGCCTGACACTGTTTTTAGTTAGAGACACTTTCTTGGAGTGGGAACTCCAAAACACACAGCTGGACGTAGGCATGTATACAGACACAGATGTGTGGATACGCAGATATGCAGACATCCTGTACAGACACACACAGATATCCAATACACACAAGGATGTCGTAGATAGATGCACACATGCTGCACATATACATAGGCACGCACAAATGAACAGTAATCAGTCATTTGAAGTAAAAATGTAAATCTATACATTGTGGATTGGAACACTGATAGCAGACAAACATGTTCACAGTATTTTATTTTTCTCCTTTTTCAAGCTTTCCAAGGGCACTTTTTCAAAGAAATAACACCATATCTGAATCTCGTTATGTCTTACTTAATCGGAAAGGTTACTGCTGTAGTAGTGATGTGGACAAATTACTCCGAGGCGGACTGAGAGCCTAACAAACCCAGTATATGGAGATAGGTCCAGAGAGAAATTATTAGAGTAGCCTTCTAATTTGACCCCAGAGCAACATGAGTGGGAGGTTAGACGTCACTATGCTGTGTGCAATGGAGTGTTGTGGCGTGTGGGAGTGTGGGGCACTGGGAAATAAGATATGTAGGGAGCCTGCAGCGCACCGCAGTAGGTAAACGTATTATTCGGAGCCTTGTCTAAATTGCGGTGAGACTCAGGGAGCTAGTTATCCTGTGAGTTCGCAGATGAATGTCTTAATGCTCATGGGTTGCCCCAGGCAGTGCTCGAGAGATG